TAAGACCTGCAGAAACAATATGCAGATGAAAAAGGAAGAGGCAAAGTGGAAAGCTTTAAGGTCGGGGATATGGTTTTATTAAATTCTAAAAAGGTGCCTACACATGCAGCCTATCTTCCGGACGAAGCTTCGTCCACGGTTCATCGGATCGTTTAAGGATGTGGCCAAACGTGGCATGGCGTACACGCTGAACCTTCCGAAACGGATGTGCACCCACCCAGTGTTTTACGTGGGCTTGCTCATGCCGTACCGGGATCCGGCGCAGCAACTAGTTCTGAGCACGGAGTGCAACAACCTCCATTTCCAATGGAGCCGAGCGCTCCACCGTTGCCCTGCGACGTATGTGTTAACAAACCCGAATGCTCCCGCGAGCTCTGTGGCTTCGACCGCAAGAGTTCAGGGCCACTGCATGAGCTCAGCTTATGGCCCTTCTACTTCCCAGGCTGTTGCCGGGAAGCGCGGGGCGTCTGATGACGCGGGACGTCCAGATCTTTCTGATTAAAAGTGTCCACGGCGGACTGGGTAATCTTGCTGAAGTGGCGCCTCAAACTCCCACGAGTTTTGGTTTCCCCGCCACTTCACCAGATATTGGGTTTGACCCTGGTGACGACGTCGTCCGACAAGACGTTCCACGTGATAGTGGTCGTCACCGTTCTCGACGAGAAGAGTTGGTGGCGGACGGTGACGACCGGGTCGCGCCGTCCGGTGACTCGTGATGCTCTTCGAGCCCTTGAGGACAAGGTCCTTCGTAATCGAAGCTCCGCTGCGCGTCATGCTGAGGTAGCATATCGCTGTGCGGACGCTCTTGACGATTTAAAGCACGTCGTGCACCGGTTGCCTCGCCTTGAGGACTACCGCTCTCTATCGGAGCAACTTCTAGCCTTGGAGCAGGCGAATGCATTGCTGAAGGGCGACAAATCGAAGGAGTCGACGGTGTGCCTTGGGTTTGGCAAACACAAAGCGGAGGTGTCGCTCTACACGCACGTCCACTTCCTTGTGGCTCGACTGCAGGTTATGCAGTGAGGAAAGTTTTCGGTGCCGTTGCACCCATCGATGAAAGAGCGCTTCGTTATATGTGGTGCTTTCGCCTGAGTCGAGCACTACAGGTATTGTCCGCATTGCGGGTACACGAGAGCTACCTCGTTGTGCACTCGGACGAGTGCGATAAGTTTCCAATGAAATTTCTTAGAAACGAGCTCGAAGATCTTTCCGTGTGGCAAGTTCATTATCCGTTCTGGCCGAAGGCCCGATGATGTGGACGCGAAACGATCGCATCACCGCGTCCTTCGCTTCCAAAGCGGGATCCGCCGGGCGGAAGCCATATTCCACACGAGGGTCAAGGACCTACCGTGGATGGGCACGCTTTAGAGCCGCCCTTTAGGTAGCTTCAAGCTGCCGTCTCTGATCTTCGTCGTGGTAATTGGCGATTACACCGCGTTCCTCAGTTGATGAGAAGTCAGGGAAAGGACATGGGGTCCACAAGGCGCGAGCAGAACTCCTATCACGCTGCTGATGCAGCTCGCCTTCCTCGTCATCCCATGCGGGAATAGATGTGTCAGACTCATAGTCGACCACATCCTCAACGAGGCCACTCGGCACTGAAAGCGTGC